TGTGTGTGTGTGTGTGTGTGTGTGTGTGTGTGTGTGTGTGTGTGTGTGTATGTATTTATATATTCTTTCTATGTAGCTCTGGCTGGCCTGGAACAAGCTCTGTAGACCAGGCTGGCCTTGAACTCACAAAGATCCACCTGCCGCTGGGACTAAATCTGTGCAACATCACTGCACAGCTGGCAAGAGGGCCGAAAGCTTTCAGGCTGCTGTACTGTGGTGACACACAGCTTTAGTCCCAGCACTCAGGAGGCAGTGGCAGGTGGATCTTTGTGAGTTCAAAGCCAGCCTGGTCTACAGAGTGAGTTCTAAGACATCCAGGGCTACACAGAGAAACCCTATCTCAAAAACCCAAAAAATAAATAAATAAAAATAAAAAAAAAAAAAGCAAAAAGCTTGAGGTCTACAACATATTGGAGGGTAATCTTTGCATAATTTTTTTAAATTTTTTTTTAGCTTATTGCCTCTATCTCCCAAGTGCTGGAATTACAGAAATCATGACCACCCTAGCTTTATTTTAGTCCGTTCTCCAAAACGTAGAACTACTAGACCTCAGACTGGCCCCTTTCTAAGTTCAGACCTGCTGAGGGGCTCTCGGAGAAAGGTATTTAACTCTAGGCTCTGCCTAACAGCAGCTGCTGAGGACACTGACAGCTCACTGTGGCTCCTGCTGAAAGCCGAGGTAAGCAAGGAGGCATTGCTGTAGCGGGGAAGCGGCTTGGAGACTTTGGGGACTTGACTCTGACTCAGACAGAAACCCCAGACTCAAGAACCTCTGCTCTAAATGGCTAGGAGCTTCCTGTGCTACACCTCCTAGACCTTGTCTGGGGAGGCCGCTCTCTGAGGGAGAAAGGCCTGTTCTGCTGGTCCTCCTGCACCTTCAGCGGCAGGCTCTCAGAGGATCCCTCTGAGCTGGGAGTGCAGACAGAACTTTTCCACAACAGAAAAGACAATGAGATCTAAAGGGGCGTGGGCTGTCACCTGGCTACAGGGCAGAACATTTAGTCTCCCTGCTTTAGGTAAACAAGATAGAAGACGTGGCCCTGGGCTCCGGGTGACCAGGAGTTAGAACTGGGCCTGGGAGAAGCAGAGGCTTGGCATCAGCAGCTGTCTCTCCAAGCCTCTTCAGGGGTCTGGTGCACTCAAGCTCAGAGAGCAGGCCCTGAGCACTGGAGTTCTCTCTCGGTACGTCCCGCAGCCAGTGGGCCTCGGCTTTACACCTACAGGGTGTGAGATGCTGGCTTGACGGCTGGAGAGCACCCAGCTGGTGTAAGGCCCACACTGCCTCAGCTCCACAGCCTCCCATGATCACCCAGGAACTCATCAGTACTGTGGGTTGTCTCCAGGCCCCCAAATTCATGCCCTAGCTCGCAATACTTTTGAGCATGACTTTTTTGGAACTAGGATCCGGTCACACTGAAGTGGGTGTGCCCTGAGTCTGTGTAAGAACACTCGTGGACAGGAGGGATAGGCAAAGTGACAGCACATGACTAATTCCAGCGCTTTTTCAAGGAGGCTGAAGGAGGAGAATTATGACTTCCTGACTGGCCAACCTAGAAAATAACTACCTTTCCTGAGGAAAAAAATGAGAATTTTAGTGGGGTAGCTGGGTGTGGTGATACACAGTTGGGAACCCAGCGCCTGGGAAGTGTTGGCAGGAGGCTCAGGAGTTTGCTGAGTTACAAAGGAGTTCTATGCCAGCGACTCTATCTGAAAAGGGAGGCGCAGGGAGTGGGATTTGGACACAGGAATAGACAGAAGCCATAGAGATGAGTGAGATGAATGTGGAGACTGGGCAATGCTTTGAGACGCCACGAACACAGGGACCGAGCTGGCTGCAGATGCTGGGACCCTGGAGTGAAAGGCTGGCTGAGAACCTCGCGGACAGCCCACCGGGGCTCCGGCGCCACATCTGCAGCCACAGAGCAAATTCTTGCTTACTCCGGTCTGTGTTGCCCTCTCTTCTCAGTCCTAGCAGGCTCAACCCTTAGCTTCTGGGCGTGCAGAGAAGCCGTAGAGGCGGGGCTGGTCAGAGTGCCATAACCAAGTCTCTGGGCTCCCGTGGCCCATGCTCTGTTCTTGCATTCCATCTGCCAGGGAGGCTCATGCCCCCAAGCCAAGCACCACCTGAGACTTGGCTGAAACTGTCGTAAAAGCATAATAGCCGGCAGAGAGTCTGCAGGAAGCTAACCTATGGGGTTCTTCCCTTTTTCCTGTAGCAGACACTACTCCTCCTCTCTCAGGAGCAGACTGGCCACATCTTCAACACATGTCTATAGGAAGCTGTCTAGAACCGAGGAGCAGTGTGGCTGTGTGTGTGTGCCTCTGTGTGTGTGCCTGTGTGTGTGTGTGTGTGTGTGTGCGCGCGTGCGTACGCACAAGCGCTCAGGGTGGGTCCCCTGGTGCTGACCTGTAGGGCTGAGATCCTAGTCTGGGCAGCAGCAGTTCCTAGCAGTATGAGTCACCTGAAGGCAGTTCCGTCAACCCTCTCTAGAAGCCACGAGGGTTGCAACATTTTGGAAAAGGTACAGGCCTGTGACCTCCTAAATGACAACGGATCAGTGCTCTTCAGATGGGGACGGGGCTCAGCTTCCGGCAGGAAGACAGGGGAGCCCTCATCCTTCAGGCTCGGACCCTCTTGCTGCCCTCGAGCCCACATGCCCTCACAGTCGCCCTCCTGTCTGCCACAAGGCACCTTCTAGGTCCAGCTGCAGACAGTGAAGGACCTGACCCCTTTGGCCGGAGAGAGCGACAGGTGTGCTGAAAGATGAACCACTAAACATGATCCTGTTGCTCGGGGACCGGGAGCAGCTCGGTTTCAGGCCCTCGCGTCTGCAAGCATGACTACGAGGCTTTATATAGCCCTGCAAGCCCTATATAAGCTGGAACTCAGGCTCGCTCAAGCAGGGGCGCTCACACAGATCCTCTGGCCGGCAGACTTCTCACTCACACCTACTGAGGTGGGGTCCCCACAGAGACAGCCAGCTCAGCCCCAGGATGCCGAGCAGAACCGTGCGCTATGCCCGATACAGCCCCCAGCAGCGGCGGCGGAGGCTGCTGGCTGACCGCAGCGTGCGGTTCCCTAATGACGTTCTCTTCCTGGACCACATCCGCCAAGGCGACCTGGAGCAGGTGGGGCGCTTTATCCGGGCTCGGAAAGTGTCCTTGGAAACGATCCATCCCTCAGGTGAGCAAGCACTGATGAACTGGTCTTCTGTTTACAAGGAGGCAGGGGAAGCCCGTTCAGGGGGTTGCAGCTTTCACGCTGTCTTTCCACCCTGCCCAGGCCTGGCTGCTCTGCACGAAGCTGTGCTGTCCGGGAACCTGGACTGTGTGAAGCTGTTAGTCAAGTATGGCGCCGATATTCACCAGCGGGATGAGACCGGCTGGACACCACTGCATGTCGCCTGCAGTGACGGGTACGCTGACATAGCCAGGTGAGCCTATGGAATGCGGTTCGGAGGCTCCAGCCTAGTTCCTCCAGGCGGGCCCCCAGAACAGGGCTCTGTGGGATGCTGGAGGCTTCTATCCGATTGCAACATTAGAGCAAGCTGGAAAATCTGGCCACAGCTTCCAAGGGGTCAGGTTTCTTCCTCCTCACTCAGCCTGGAAAAAAACAACAGGTGACCCCAACATTCTAGCCCTCTGGTCCCCGAGATGGCTGAGCAGGCTTTAACCAAGCTTCTCTCGCCCTCCAGGTACCTCATCTCTTTGGGGGCAGACAGAGACGCAGCCAATGATGACGGCGACCTGCCTTCTGACCTTATCGACCCGGACTTCAAGGACTTGGTGGAACTCTTCAAAGGAACCAGCATGGACTGAGCCAGCCCTGCACGCTGGGGCTTGCGCCTCCTGGAGAAGTGGCATGCACCTTCCCCCGGGGCCAGGGAGTCGGCCAGGCCAGTTAGGACTTGTCTGGGGGTAGGGCGCCCTCACACCTCTACCCATTTCTCTGGCCTGGCTTCTCCGGTTTTTCTGTGTGTTTGTTGGTTTGTTTGTTTTTTATGGTGATACTTTTTACTTTTTCAATAAACATGCTTTCCAAACTGTGATGGTGAGTGATTAGCGGGGCCCAGCGCCAAGCCATCAACCCTTCGCCACGCACGCCGGGGCCTGAGGCAGCGCGGGGTTAGTCCCCCGGACCCGCCGGCCGGTGGCCTCTTACGAGCAAGCCTCCCCAGCCCACAGACACGCGCGCTTCCGGGACGACCTCGCGCGCCTCCGGCCTCGCGTCTGCCGTCCGCCGGGGATCACGTGGCCCGCGCCGTTTGCGCCTGCGCGATGCGTCACTTCCGGCCGGCCCACTGTCAGCGGCGGCGGCGGCGGCGAGGAGGGCGAGGTGAGGAAGGCGCGGCGCGGGAGGCGCGGCGGGGCGGGGCGCGGCGGGCTCCGTGGGACCTCGGCCGCCCCGCCCCGCCCCGCCCCGGTGTCGCCGGGTCGCCCGGCCCGTGCGCGGTGACAGCAGGCCGGTGTCGCCGCGGGGCGCGGACGTGGCGGCAGCCTGGGGGAGTCTTTCTTGCCGGGCCGCCCGCCCGGACGCGACGCCCGCGGTCCCCCGGGGCGGCCCCGGAGGCGCGTCCTGCCTCCGGGCCGCGCAGGCCGGTGTCCTTGCTGGTTCCTCGCCCTGCCCACGTCCCCGTGGTCCTGGTGCAGTGGCTCTGCGCAGGGCCAGGGCCTGGCGCTGCTCGTCCGCAAGCCGGCCGGAAGCATCGTACCCCTGTTGACAAAGCAGTCCCGGCCCTAGGGGTCGTCCCTCTGGACGCCCCGCTTCAAACAGGGCAGGCTCAGGCAGAGGCCCCAGTGGGTTGGGACCAGCTAGTGGACTTCTGGGGGGTGTCCGGGGCATTTAGAGAGATGGTGGCAGGAGGGCGGCAGGAGCTAGGTCCTGCAGAAGGAGGGGCCTGGGTGTGGGTCCAGTTAGGAGATACGGTGGTTTGCTGGTCCAGGAAAAGAAGAGGATGCACATTCCTAGGTCTGATGGCCTGCCCTGGTCATCTGGAAGCAGTCATCAGAGCACTGTGGTCCCTGCTTGACTGGTCAGTCATTCACTAAAAGCCTCACAGTTTGTAAGGCATGAAAGGAGGGATCAGAAAATTGGAAACAGGGAGTGGTGGCACACACCTGTACTCCCAGCTCTTTGTCAGGTGGAGTCAGGAGGACCAGAAATTTAAGACCAGCCAGGGCTACGTGAGACCTTTTTTCTAAAGGGGTGGGGAGAGGTGGGGAAGGAAGGAAAATTTTGCACAGTCGAAGCTCCAGGAGAACAGATGGCCAGCCATGGTTGGTTTTGGAGGGAGAGCACATTACCTGACATCGTGCCCAGGTGTGTTGGATGTATTTAGAAGAGCAGAATTGGTTCTGGATCTCCTGCACCCCGTACTGTCTCCCCACCTCGCCCTTCCAGGGAGGCTCTGAAGGCCTCAGTTCCCTTAGAAGCGGATGGTTCTACACAGAGTAAGCCCATTCAGTAAGAACTCTCCCAGGAATGGAAGACGGAGCAGACCCACAGGATGCCCCTGGGAAGCAGCATTTCAGAGCGGCTAGGGGCAGTGAGCAGCTAGCACTCCAGCCAGCTGCTGGAGCAGAAGACCCTGGGTTGTGTGGAGGCTGGGAGCCCCTCTTAGGGACTGCCTCATCCTCTGACATGGGACTGTGAGATGCCTTCTTTCTGGCCAGCTGCGACAGGAGCATGAATGGCGTATGAAGTTCCCAGCACAGGGGTTGCCCCATCGCCCTCCCTTGGCAAGGGTCTGCTGTGGCCTGCATGGTTCTCCGCCTCATTTAAGCATGAGCTGAGTCCCGAGTTTCCTGCCTCATCCTCGGTGGTCTGTAGGCCCCTCTGGTTACCAGTCTTTACTGGGATAAGCAGCGTGGCTTTGTGATGTCCATCATGGTGTTGGCTGGAGAGGTGCAGGTTCCGCATTTGAGGTAGGGCTTCCCCTGGAAGTGTTCATTGGAGCAGGAGGACCTGGTAACTGTCCCTGGTGGCCACTTCCCTTTCAGTGAGGAACCAAAGCCCTTGTCTAGAGGCCACAGAGGGGTGGAGGAACTCTGGCCAGGAGGACTGGGCAGGTGCTTCTGTTAGATTTTTAAAAGGCAGCTGTGGAGAGGCTGATGGTAGAAAGAAGGATTTGATCTGTTTAGGCAGGATTGTGTTTACTCACAGAGGGCTTTGTCACCCGTGTGTGCAGATGGCCAGAATGCCAGCAGAGGTAGATGGGATGTGGCCCCATATCTTAGAGGGGCAGAAATGATGTCCATAGTCCTCAAAGGAGGCTGGGACGTGAAGTCTTTCATCAGGAAACAGTTGAGTTTACTACTGGCTACTCTGGGCCGGGGGAGGTGGTGACGCATGAAACACTCCTGTGGAGCCTGGTGGCGTAGCTTCTCACCTAGCTGCCGGGAGGCCGATGCCAGAGGGTTGCAAGTCCAAGACCTGCCTCATCAAGCTCAGAGCAGCCTGGGTAGCAGACTTGAGGTAGAATATTTGCCTAGCGTGTAGGAGGCCGTAGATTTGAGGGGAAATCCTGCTAGGCTTTGATGTTAGGGGCTACTGAGACACCTGGTTTCCCAGGTACAGAGGAAAGAGATTGTGGAGTTGTGCCGGGCGTGGCAGTGCATGTCAGCACTGAGGAGACCTAAAGACAGGAGGATCAGGAGTTCATGGCTGGCCTGGGCGTCCTCTCTTTAAACACAAACAACAGAAAGACCCAAAAAGCACTGTGGAGTTGATGTAACGTATTACAGATGGCCAGCGAATGGAGGACACACTTGTAACTGAGAAAAAAGCAGGGCAAGGAAGTATTGGGAGCTTGAGGTGGCCTTGCCTGACCTCTGTTCCTGCTCTCGTCCTGGTGGGAGCTCCAAATGATAAAGGCCTGGGCACTGATGAATTCTTTTGACGTACGGCTCTCTCCCTGGCTACTCACTGGAAATGGTGTCCCCTTCTGTGGTAGCCTTTGTTAGACACTACCCCCCTTTTTTACCTGGGCTGTTGAGCAGTAGTCTGCAGGTGCCTGTCTGCAATCTGGCAGGGTTTTTTTTTTTTGTGTGTGTGTGTGTGTGTGTGTGTGTGTGTGTGTGTGTTGTTTTTTACACCCTTGGCACTTGTGCAGACTGCCTTTTTTGTTAGCCCATTGTTGCTGCTTTGGTCCTAGACCCCAACACACTCAGCCATTTTAGGGACCCTGTTCATCTGGTATCATGCTTCATTCCTTGCCAGTAAACACGCTCAGGTTTCTCTCTGCCTCACCAAACAAACCCTGCTGCCAGCTGGGCTGGTGCCAGCAGGAGCACCCAGGCAGAGGGCATGGTATTGTATGTGCAAGCCAGGAGGCCATTAGAGGATGTGCCTACGAGAGTCTGAGCTGCATGGGTAGGAGAGGTACCAGAGAACCATGGCCTAGGGAGCAGGTACCACCAAGCAGAAAAGGGTGTCTGCAAGGGCAGAAGGCAGCCTGGGCCCTGGAAGCTAAGGTAGGCGTTGGCCCCTGAGCACTGCCCTGGCCTGGCCTGTAACCAGAGCGTCCCATCTTGTGTCACTGCCATCATCACACCTCAGAGGCCTTCCTTGTGCTCTGATGTCCTGCGCTGGCAGCTTTGGGAACAATGGAGAGGGAGTAAGGGCTGGAAGCCAGGTTTGGGGAGGGGTGCAGGGCTCTAGAGCTCTCATGGGAGTTGGCCTGATACCATTGAGGTGTTCACCTGTCTGAACAGTTAATCTGATAGGTCCCTGAGCAGAGTAGAGCCTTTGAGAAAGCTTGAGGTGGCGTGCTTGGGGCTTTTGGTCTCCTTGTCGGCAGCATCTGGGTTGCCCCATCTGGACCAAGGCCAGGCTTAGGGCCAACCCTGTATGACCGGTTCCTTGTCTCAGCCAGTGTGTTCTCAGCTGGTTAGTTATGACATCCAGACTCTGGATATCCTGCCCACTCAAGGCAGGAAAAGACCCCTGGCCTATAAGCAGATCGCAGGGTTCTGGTCACTGGGTTAGGCCTGGCTGCTTCCTCCTTTCTCCTGATCTAGTTTGTTCTTGATTACCCAGTGTTCTTAGGGGATCGGGAAGCTGGGTTGTTTATCAGATGTCGCTGAGTTTCAGGATAGATGGTTTTCTCACCATGCAGTTCCCATGGGCAGTTAGGAGGCTGAGTCTTAGGCCTTGCAGAAGCATGCACGGAGCCCTCTGGGGCAGAGCTGGGTCCATCTGCAAGTTGAAGACAGGAGTGGGTGAGAGGCTGGGGCTGAACACGTGGCTCAGTGGCTAAGTTAAGCATTGCATGGCCTGTTTGTCCCCTTAGTGTCCTCTGACTGACACTGATGCCCCCAGAGCCTGTTCAGGATTACTTAGAGCCAACTGGCCGCTCAAGTCTAGAGTCCAGTCTGACGGTCTCCCGTGGACTCAGGACCACATAGTTTGTTCCTTGTTCTGCTGGAAGGGCGACCTCTCCAGTGCCTTGGGCTTTCTGTTCCTAGGCCGCAGGATCCAGCAGCTGAGCACCAGGACTGGACATCCCAGCAATGACCAGGTGGGTCTCAGGTGTGGGGGAGCTGGCACCCCAACTCTCCAATTAATCCCTCCTCACACTCAGGCTTTCCCCAGTTCTCCCGTCTCCAGAGTTGTCTACAACGGCAAGAGGAACAGCAGCCCCCGCTCTCCCCCCAACAGCAGTGAGATCTTCACACCGGCACATGAGGAGAATGTGCGCTTCATCTACGAAGGTCGGCATGCTTGGCGTCGGTGCTCTGTACTGCCTGCCGGGGACGCCCCAGCCCCTCCACTCTTTCTGGGAGGAGGCCCCACCCCAGGAGCCATAATCTCTGGAACCAGCAAGACTAGTGACAGAGGGACATTGTGATGACAACCCAAGAAGAGGGCATGGGGATGGGTAGGGCCTCAGGAGAGGCCGTACCTTAGAGCCGGTCTTGAGGCCTGGAGACGTCCTGGGAAGAGGAAGTAGCTGTGAACACTGTTTCACTAAGGCAGGCAGACGTTAGAATTGGAACACAAGTGCTGGGTGTAGGTGATGAAAGAGTAGGAAATGGGTGGCCCCTGAGGCACACGCCTGGTTCTCCGAAGCCTGGGGAAGCCATTGCACAGAAGGGACTGACCCTGTGCAGGGCCAGGAGGAGCTAATGCAGGAGGAAAGACAGGTCGGGGCTCTGCAAGACATCCTCAGCTAGTCAGGCAGATCTCAGTGAGTTCAAGGTCAGCCTGGTCTACAAAGCAAGTGCTGTAACAGCCAGGGCTACACAGAGAAACCCTGTCTTGAAAAACAAACAAAAAAACGAAAAACTGTTAGCTGCCAGCGGGAGACTGGCAAGGCAGGGCCGGGTGCTGCTGAGGGAAGGGACGGTCTGCTTGCCCAGTGTCGGGACCAGGTGCTCTGTTGGCTCAAGTTCTGCTGAGCACTGAACCCATTGTCTTGCTGCAGCCTGGCAGGGTGTTGAGCGAGACCTGCGCAGCCAGCTGTCCGGTGGTGAGCGGGGCCTAGTGGAGGAGTACGTGGAGAAGGTTCCCAACCCTAGCCTCAAGAGTGAGTAGGGCAGGCCTGGGGAGCTGGTGGGAAGGCCCCTGCTTCCTGCCTGGGCTGTTCTTCCCAGGGCCCCTGGGTTTGGGAGCCCCCAGCAGTGGGGATGGGTTGGAGTCCTGCTCCCAGCACCAAGCAGACTGCCCCTGACAGCCTTCAAGCCCATCGACCTGAGCGATCTGAAGCGCCGGAACACGCAGGATGCCAAGAAGTCCTAGAGCGCCTGGCACCCCCCTGGCCTCCAGAGATCAGGGCGCACTGATGTTGGTTTCCTTTGTTCTCGTGGCTCTGCTCCTGGGAGGGGGAGGAGAGTGTGCTCCAGCGGCTGTGATCCCCAGAGCCAGCAGGATTGATGGCCAAGGCCCTCCCTTTCCTCTCCAGGGTCTCAAGTTGCCCCTGTCTCTGGGGGAGCAGGGGTCTGGCCATGTCTGCCCCTGTCCTTTTCCCCTGGTCAGCTGCATCTTGGGTAGCACCTGGCCTTGCCTATCCAGCCCTCTCTACGGTTACCTGCCATGCCTCACCCCTCTCTTTCCTGGCCACCTAAGGTCGGGAGGGAGAAAAGGGGACCTCTGTTTCTTTGGCCGTTGGACTTGAAATGACCAGAAAGTAGGACATGTGCAGTTCCACCTGCATCCAGTGTGGTTCCCCGTGGAGACTCACTGGTCTTCTGGCCTGGACATTTGGGGAGCTCCCCCTTCCTGTCCCCACGTCCCTAGTGTCCATCCTGACCCTTCCTTGCCTCAGTTTCAGAGTAATCCACTCTGAGCCCGGGACAGTGCTGGCTCTATGAAGGCAAGCAGGCCTGCTCTCCTGGCACCCAGAGCCCTGTGGCCACAGCAGTGCCCTTGGACAGGGCACTAAGGCTGACCCTGAAGGATTGGTGCTGCCAGGCCTGTCCTGGCTTTCTGGGGTGTGCTGGGAGGATCACCAAGGCCCTCTTTCTTGCGCCCTTTTAAATCCAAGTGTCTGTGCAGCTTTGGAGACGGAGGGTGTGTGAATAAAGGTGGGTGGCGCTGGAAGTTGCTTCCTAGCAGTCTGTCAGGCCCCGAGTCCCTCACAGCCAGCTGCGCAGGGCTGGAGACCCTGCCCTATGAGCCCTGCAGGTCTGTGAGCCCCTGAGCCCAGAGCAGTTTGGTGACTAATAAAGCCAGATCCTCTTGATAGACAACTGCATTCCTCCTGTGGAGCTTGGAAGCCGTTAGAACTCTTAGCCACCTTGTACTCCTTGCTGGAGCAGTCTGTGGACTCTGAGGAGTGTTGGCTCTGTGACTGTCCAGGGCTGCTGGGTCCAGGAGAGACCTGGCTGCATTTGACCTTCAGTCATGGAAACAGCCCTGGAATGCTCCTGCTTCTGAGAAGATGCCAAGATGGAATTTATTTCAGGAACATGCTTTCCCAGAAGAGTATTCCGGGGCTCAAGTGGCCCCCACAGGCATCTCCTGGGTATGGGCAAGTCTCCCCAGGGAGGTGCAGGCAAGACAAGGCAGTGAGAAAAAGCTCCTCTAGGTGCCAAGCCCCCCCCCCACCCCACCCCCGTTACTTGGCATTATTAGTTCCCCTGGGGCCTGTTAGGCTATTTGAAGAAGCTCAGTGTCCTAGGCTGCTGGTTACCTAATCAGCTTCCCATTGTCAGGGCTGGAACGGGGGAACGGGTGTGACAGCTCAGGGGATTCCAGGACAAGGTGTCCACTAGAGGACCCAAGTGAGGTCCATCCCTGAGGACATTCTGCCTCCTGGTGTTGATTTCATCCCAGCTGTGTGAGAACACACCCAGGGGCCAAGGGGCTTCCTGGCCTTTCTGGAGGAGTAACGCGCTTAGGCTGTGGGGGCTGGTGCCACACACGACCTTCAGCACCGTCATCACGTCCCAGCCTCTTACAGTGGCTGGTGTTTGTCCCCTGTGCAGTTCCAGAGTGCCTGCTGCCACTGGCAATCTCTCGGGTGTTCACTTGACAAAGTTAGCCCCAGACAGTGAGCTCAGGGCCCTACAGCACTTGGGCGCCCCTGCTGTGTATCAGGCCTGTCCAGTATCTTCCTTAGGTAGGTTTGGTTTGGTTTTGTTTTTTGAGACAAGGTTTCTTGGTATAGCCCTGGGTGTCCTGGACTTCACTCTGTAGACCAGCTGGCCTCGAACTCACAGCTCTGCCTGCTGAGTGCTGGGATTAAAGGTGTATGCCACTACCACCCTGCTAATTTAATTTATTTATTAAGGATTTTGTTTGTTTTGAAACAGTCTCACTATGTAGCTCCGGCTATCCTGGAACTCAATATTTCAACAAGGCTGGCTTTATTTTTATTTTTTTATGTGGCTGTGTGTGAGGGTGTCTGTAGAAGCCAGAGGAGGGTGTTGAATTTCCCGACCTGGTGTTACAGTCAGTTGTAATGTGGGTACTAGGATACGAAGCCCGGTCCTCCGCAGTGGTGTCCAGTGACCTTAACAAAAGCCATCTCCAGCCCCAACAGTGCTCTGCTCAGTTGGTCTTGTTTGCTTGAAACAGGCTCACAAGGCAGCCTCACCTTTGCTGTGTACCTGAGGGTGACCCTGAATTTCTAACCCTCTTCCGAACAACTTTAGGGGTTGTAAATTTAGGGGTTGTAGGCATATGCCACCACACCCAGTTTATACAGGGCTGAGGATCACTCTAGGTGGGCATGAGACCAGTGGGCGACATCCTGAGCCTGCATGGGCAGTTTTCTTTTCCTTACAGTCTTAGGTACATCAGGATTGGATGATCAGGCCAGGTGGGGTGGTGCACACCTGTAGTCCCAGCACTAAGGGAGGCAAAGACGGGCAGATCTCTGTGAGTTCGGGGCCAGCCTGGTCTACAAAGTGAGTGCAGGACAGCCAAAGCTACACAGAAATGCTGTCTCAAAAAACAGATTGAGTGGTCATGTTATTACGTGTTTGTATTCAGAAGGGAACCATATGGGAAATTGATTTCTCTATTTTTTGCCCTCGAAATCACTATCTCTTCCTTGTGTGTGTGTGTGTGTGTGTATTTGTGTTTTTTGTGTGCATGGGTGGAAGCGAGAACCCTTGAATGCTGTCTGCCTCCTTTGAAACAGGTGTTTCCTTGACTAGAAGCACGTGTCGGTTAGAGCTGGCTGGCTGGCTGGCTGGGTGGCTGGCTGGCAAGCCCCAGATCTTCCTGCTTCCCACACAGGGATCACGCTTGCACACCATGCCAGCATGCGACCTGCTCTTCTTGTGGTACTGGGGATTAAACAGCGTCACACATGGTAGCAAGCATTCTCTACCACTCTGTATGCTCTGCCCTTTCAGGTTTTGTTGGTGGTGTTTGCTTGAGACCTGGCTGGCCTAGAACTCGCAGACCAGCCTAGCCTCAAAGTCCCAGAGATCCACCTGTCTCCACCTCCCAAACGCTGGGGCTAAAGGTGTGTGCCGTGACTGCATTAGGCTCCTTCAGAGGTTTTGTTTTGTTTTTTGAAATAAAGTCTCCTATAGCCCAGTCTGGTCTTGAACTGGGTCTATAGCTCCATGCCTTGAATTCTTATCCTGCATTCCCCTCCCAACTACTGGAATTACCACATCTGGTTGTGTTTGCCTGGCTTCCTGTATACTAATCCCAAGGCCTGAACTTTCTACCCAGTCATCTGAATCTCCAGTCTGTGTTCATTCCAGTCCGTTCACTCTCTGGAGCCTTCTTGCTGGCATGAGGTCCCCTCTAGTCCACAGCCCAGCTCTCCTAACTTCCATCTTATGTCCGTGTCTTTTGTTGTTTCCTCAGTTGCCCACCTCCATTTTGGTAGTTTGAATGCCCACACCCGATTCCAGGGGGCCATATGCCAGTCATCTTACTCCTGACAACACTCAACTCCGTCACATCAGTCTCGAACATGGACCATTTACATCCTGTCCCACCCAGGATCCCCTTTCCCCTCCTGGCAGTCACACTCCGCACTCACACCTAGCTGGACCACACCAGCAAGGAGGCTGACCGGCAGGACGGAGGAGGGGAGAGAACCCTGGGGAAGATGCCGCAGGGCGCTGCGCTCGCTCCCAGCGCTGTGGAGCTGGCTGGCCATGGCTCAGTCATTGGCTGAGTGGACCTGTCCAGCTCCGCCGCCTCCCCTGCCTGCACCAGCCTGCTCAGTTCCCTTGGGGACAGGGGTGAAGGAGGACAAGGGCAGAGGGACTCAGGATGGGGAGGGCGTCAGGAGGCCCCAAGTGAGCTGCAACCCCCAAGGCAGTCGCCAACCCTGAGCTCAGCTGGTGTGAAGGAGAGTGTACATACTCTGTGCTGGCCGGGGTGGCTCTGTGCCACAGCAGGCATCTAGACATCTGGGGCTCAGAGTTGAGGCAGGATCTGGGCCTGGAGCCTGGAGGTCTGGGATGAGCTGCCCCAGGCTGCAGCTTCAGGAACCTCAGGTCTCCAGCACAGGACGGGTTAGGGGAGTGTGGACAGCAGGTGCAGCAAGTTCACTGACTTCCGGCCCTTCATTACCCACCAGCCCTAGCAACTCACCTGTCCAGCTGGGCCAGAGGCTCAGTGGTCCTCCCCACCATCCCGCCGTCCCTGCCTTCCCTCCCTGCAGCTCTCAGGCGTTTGGAGGTGGTGGGGTAAGAGCCCCTTCAGGCCCCAGTGCCTGGCCTGGCAGGTGAGTCATTCTGTTTACCTTTCCTGAGAGGCCTGCTGTTCCTTCATTTGCTTCAGTTAGCCTGGCTGTGACTGAGCAGCTGGCCCACATGGCCTGATGCTGGCTGTGTGCACCCTTCCCCCAGGGTTGCCTCCCCGCCCCCACTCTGTCTTCACACTCCACTAGGTACCATAGACCCGGCCAATGGGACCACCCTAGAGGCTGAAGGCAGTCCTTCCTGTGCTCTGGTCTGTGAGGCTGTGTCAAGTATCAAACATACTTCCTCAGGGGCAGCTTAGGCTGGGTAATCCTGGGGAGGTGGGCTCCTGCCCCAAGGACCACTGTGGGGCAGCTCCTGTCCTGGATTGCGTTAGCCCTCTCTACCTGGTCAAGGCAGTGCCCATCCACAGCTGTTCCTACCTGAGCTGGCCCCGCCCTCCCAGGCTCCTCCTCTGGGTGTGTCACATTCAAGCAGCTACTAACTGAGCTCTTTACTGAAGGTCATGTATCTGTGCACATGTCAACACACATGGGAACACCCACAGTTCATAGCGTGGCTTCTCCATTGCATCTGACCCCCACCCCATCAATGTGGCCTGTACCAGGGTCAGGACAGGTCAGGGGAGTGTGGACAGTACAAGCTGCTGTCTCGCTGCTTTGTCTCTGCAGCCTTGGGCAGGCATCTGGTTCTGGGTTATCCTGTGTCAGCCAGCCCTGGGAGACTGCTGGCCAAGGAGGTCCCCACAGAGGGCTCACGGCCAGTATCATTGCTGCCGCCTGCACTCACAAGCTGAAGTCTCTCACAGGGGTCACTGCGACTGGGCCCTGCTGGAGCCATGTGGCTTCCATGGCTGCTGGCCAGCCATTCCTCCTGAAGGGCTTTGCCTGTTTGCCATTGCCTCCAGCGCCGCAGAAGTTCTGCCTGCACCTAGAGGGTCCAGGGGTAGGGCCGCTCTGCCATCCCACCTCACCAGGGTCCTGCCTGGGCCATTCTGGGGTGCCCAGCCTCCATCAGAGGAGACCCAAAGCAGACGGGTTCCACCCTGGGTACAGCAGGGCCACTGTCACCAGGGGAGGCGGGGACCACCTCACACACCGCACCCCCCGGGGACCTGAATCCAACACACGCAACCATAATAATGGCCACAGAAGGTATGACCACACCAGGGCAGCCTCGGGCCAGCTGATCCCAGCCCAGCCTTACCTACCTCCTTGTTGAGGAAACAGTAGAGAACAGCTACCAGCAGACCCTGGAGAAAGAGGGTGGTCAGGGGCAGCACTCCAGGCCCCGGGGTGGGGTATGACGGGGACTCACCTGGAAGGAACTGAGGAAGAGGTCAAAGAAGAGCTTGGTGGAGCGCAGCGTGCCCTGGGCGTGCTCATCAGTCACAAAGGCAAAGACCACCTCGTGCACACCCAGCAGGGGGATGAGGGTCAGCGTGGACCGGGCGAGCCTGCAGGGCCAGCGTGTGAGCTCCCTCACCTGCCGGGGCTTCTGGGCTCTCCCCACAAAGACACCGGCCCCCAGCCCCGCCCTCACCACCCTGGCCCTGGCCCCCAGCCCCGACCCTCGCCACCCTGGCCCTGGCCCTGACCCTGGCCCTGGCCCTGGCCCTGGCCCTCGCCACCCTGGCCCTGGCC